TTTAAGAGAATAAACAGGCCAGAGTGCTGACCAAGACTGAGAAGCACGCTTCTGTTGCTTTGTTTTGATCAACTTTGAACAGTAAATTTTACCTGGGGAAATGCTCCCCTTTGGCCTGAACTGCTTATGTTGGACATTTTTTTCATCCAATGGCACCTCTATTTGCCTTGGCCCTGGCTGGGACTCAGTTTTGAAATCAAGTGTGTGCTCGTGTGGTATTCCTTGAATGCTAATGAAGGACACCTGTATTTCGAGGCAGGAAACTAATTTGTTTAATTTATTCCTGTGCAGTTGCACAACCATGATGCATACTTCCTTTTCTCTTCACCTTTTAAGATTTAATCTGAATAGCAATCACCAGTGTGAAGGAGGGCACTGCTTCTGATGCCTCCTCTTTTGATTCTTTTCTCAGTGTGGTGTTGAGATGTGTGTCAGGGGAGGGAAAGCTCATATTTTCCACTGAGTTTATAATCAACACATTCTTGTCCTGAGGACTAGAGTAGAATTGAAGTACCTATCTCCTGAGCTTCTCCTTCAAGGACTTAACTATGAAAGCAACTTCTCCTTCAAAGTCCTTATCATTTTCCGACTCCCCTCGCAGCTGCTGGTCCGCCTCTGTGTGCAGCCACGACTCTTGCAGCTGTGTGTGTTGATTTCTGCCTCTGAACTGGCTGAGGTGCCATGTGACGATTAGTCTTTGGGTAATTATGGATGGCATATTTGCAGCATGTTTATTCCTTTCCTTAGCTCATTTGGAGTCACACTGATTTTGTTTAGTCAATGATCTGACAGATTGCCCTTGGTATTTTCCTCTTTTGATTGTACCTGTGCTTATCTCTCAGTCACAGATCATCTTAAGAACTCAGAGTGAAAGGTTTGTATTTCCCTTGACTGAGATCAGCTTTTCTTTGACGTGTCCAGAAGTCCAGATAAGGGTCTTGCTTCAACACTGTTCTGAATTCTGAACCACAGGGGTATCAGAGGGAAGGCTGGTAGATATCACTTAAAATCCTTCCACAGGGAGTTGTTTTTTATCTCATTGTCAGAGTTTACTCTTTCCCAAGCATGGTTAAGCCTGAATAGTTCCCTAACAGGTTAAGTATGTTTCCTTTTATTGATAACCCCTTTTAACAATCTTTTAAGGATGAATTTTATAACAACCTTAGGATCTTTTTTTTTTTTTTTTTTTTTTTGAGTTGGAGTCTCATTCTGTCACTCAGGCTGGAGTGCAGTGGCACACTCATGGCCATCCCAGCATCGACCTGCTGGGCTCAGGTAATCCTTCTGCCTCAGCCTTCCAAGTAGCCGGAACTACAGGCATGTGCTACCATGTCCGGCTAATTTGTTATTTACTGTAGAGACGAGGTCTTGCCAAGTTGGCTGGGCTGGTCTCGAACTTGTGGGCTCAGGCAGTCCACTTGCTTCAGTCTCCCAAAGTGCTGAGATTATAAACTGAGCCACTGAGCCTGGTCAACAACCTTAGGATCTTAAAAGGCAAACAAAGGAAACAAACAGGTTTAAATTCATATTTGATCAAAAAAATCAGTTCTCCCATGATTAGGGTGCATTCAGACAAGTGGATTATATTCTTGGTTATATCTACTGGTAAACTCAGGTATTTTCTTTTTTTCTTAAGCACTTTATTTTGTTGTCATTGTTGAGGTTATTTTGCTTTGTTATCCCTCCCCAGATTGAGAATTTTTATTAAAATACACTCTAGTTTATCTTGAACAAAAACATCTGTTTAATAACATAGTCTATTTAGCTGACACTGGAAAAATTAGGATGTTCCTCAGCTGTGGGCAGTCCTTGTATGTTGAGGCCACTTGTATAGTTCATAAATGTGGCCACTCCTTTGGCTGGATATTGGTACAGAAAAGGGTTAACAGAGCAGGCCTGAGACTGCTTTCCTTTGAAAGGCTTTCTTTCGCCGGGCTCGGTGGCTCAGCCTGTAATCCCGCGATTTTGGGCGGCTGAGGTGAGTGGATTGCCTGAGCCTGTGGTTCGAGACCCGCCTGGGCAGCGAGACTTCATCTCTACAATAAATCAAAAAATCAACCGGGCGTGGTAGCGCATGCCTGTAATTCCGGCTACTTGGAAGGCTGAGGCGGAAGGATCGCTGGAGCCCAGCAGGTCGAGGCTGTGGTGGCCAGGAGTGGCCACTGCACTCCAGTCTGGGTGACAGAGTGAGACTCCAACTCAAAACAAAACAAAACAAAAAAAGAAACGAAAGGCTTGCTTTCAAGGTTGGCCCTCAGCTAGCGTCTGAAAACGTGACTGGTAAATTGTCCCCTATACTAATATAAACCTCTTGTTAAATGATGAGGGCGTCTCACTGTACCTAAACTGTTTGTACAATCTATGTGATTTGTACTGAGCCCCTGCTTTCCTTCTGGGAGTCTGGAATTTTGGCATGTGCCAGGCGGAGGAGTGCTTGCATCACTAGTCCCAGTTAAAACCTTGGGCTCTGAGTTTCTAATGAATTTTCCTGAGCAGCAACATCACAAACACTCTGTTGCACATTGGTTGCTGAGGGAAAGTGTGCTCTGGGGGACTCCTCATGTGAAAGAGAGAGCATAAGAACATCAGCATGTGGATTCTTCCGGACTCTGCCTGTGCTTTTCCCCCTTATGGTCCCACTGTGTATCTTTAGTATATTGTATCATCAATCTTAGCTGTTGAGCACAACTATAGTCTGTGTTGCAGGAACCCTTCTAGAAAATCTCTGAAGGTGAGGGTGGGACTCCTGAACCCTACCACTCCACCCAATGAGTTGAAGTGCAATTCCAGAAATATCATTGGATGACGTTATCCTCAAAGATGCTGATCTGATCCCTAATCTTGGTTTCTCGTGCATAACTATGCATCTTTCAGTTGAGATTTTCTTCTAAAGAACTAATGTTTACTTAATTTATGATATTCCTTTAATTTCCAAAAGGAGATTGCTCTATGATATTAAATGCTGTATTTTGAAACATCATCTCTAAAGTTATTTTACAGTCAAAAGCCATGCCAATCTAATACCAAAAGTAGCTGACAAGCTCTAACATTACTAGCAAGTACAATTTAATGTTACCGGCTAGAATAATATATTTAGAAGAAACTCTGCATACTGCTACAGATAATAATATCGATGATTGGTCCCTCAAAGCTGTGCCTAGATATTTAACAAAAATCTCTATGTTAGTTAATTTGAGAATTTAACCTTAACCAGATATTTTTGGATGGTGTTAAGAAATGAAATAATATTGACATGATCTTGAATTTTTGTCTTGTTCAAAAACATGTTTTTATTTTTTCTTTAAGATTATTTGAGGTGACTTTATTATTGTGTGTTACAGTTTGAGTTATGCCACAGGTTGACCAGTAATATTGTTCTAACTGCTCTCTATAGACAAGCAGCTGGCATGGTGGATGCTGAAAAAGTATGGACTAAATAGTGATTATACAAAAGAATGAAAAACTCAGAATAATCATGCTGGTCAGATTACCTTTTCAAAGACTAACTTGTTAGAACAATAAGAACAACATGAATTCTATGAAAATTTCTTGGTATAGATAACATTCTCAGGTCTTACTATGGAGTGAAATGTACCGTTAAAATGTGGTAGTTTTACAAGTGATGGAATTTCACAGGTCACTTTGATATTATTGAATCAGTCAGTGGTCTAGGATGCAGAAAGTTATTCAATCCCAAGAGTTCAGATTCTTGACAAAGGGATTAATGCCAGTATCATTCAGCAGGATTAGGCCTGTGCTTATTGCTAATATTAATATTTAAAAATATTTTATTAGATTCAAGCACTAAAAGTGTGAACCTGGGGTGAAATATTTCCTTGGGCATAGAACCAGCCCTGTGAAAGCTTCTGAATGCTTTCTGACTCAATCTGAAGACTTGCTAGCTCTTTTTATAGACTTTGGAGGGTACATAAGACACTGGAAACATAATGTGTTTAAGGGTCTTTGAATTCAGATATTTCAACTGGACTCAGGATATAGATTTCCCCTGCTAAATAAGGAGATGTTAGTCAGTTATTTAGATATGCAAAAAGAATAATTTTAAGGTAAAAAATTACCCAGAATATTTTTTGGGTAGGGGATGGAGGGATGACAGTGAGTCCATTCGTGGATCAACAATTGGAGCTCATTATTCAGGTCAGCAGTTAGAATTTACTCTCCTAATCTGTATAAGGTATTATCTGCCCTAGTTTCATGTCTGTCTGTCTGCTTGTCTGTCTTTCTCTGGCACCTCCTGAGACTGTTTTGAAAGACCAGTTCAGGTTTTTATGCTTTTCATGTATGGATCACTGAGCTGTTCCTGATACACTAGGGCTATGCTGTTGGTGGTGTCTGTAACGAGCTGCTGGAAATAACAACTTAAAAAAATGTCTGAAAGCAAATCTATGAATTAAAACGTGCTTTAAAACCTTCCTCAAAAGCATACAGAAAAACAATATAGGAGCGAATTCTTACAATAATTCCCAAATGCCAACAAATGCAATCACTGCACGAGTTGAAGTTTACATTTTAAAATTCACACCCTGCAGATTTGTTCTTGCTTGTTTCTGGCCCCACTTACAAACCTTTGAGATAGTCTGATGAATGAGCAAACTCAGGAGATAATTGATGAATTACTGTGGACTCAAATGAACAGAAGACTTTCAGACCAATTGCCAAAGTTCTAATATATAAGTGGTGCTGGATCTTCCTGCACACTCAGAGATGCCCTGGAAGTTCCTATATTTGATATTTTAAACACTTCCTGACTGAGGGAGCAAAAGAAAGAACTCACACACACATATTTCTTGGGCTTAGATATACGTTTGTGTGTGTGTGTGTGTGTGTGTGTGTGTGTGTGTGTGTGTGTGTGTGTGTGTGTGTACATACTAATAGTTACATATTTAGGTCGAAATAGAGAACTGATGCAGTTCATAAATATGCATAAGCATTTGTGGTTCACAGAAGAAACAGGAAAGAGATGAACAAAATGTGAAACGCACCATATTCTGGGACCTGCCCCGTGCCTCTCTTCAATAGCAGCCTCACTCTTCTTCCTCCAGATTTGATGAGTTCTATTGCTCTGGCGTGTGTCATGTCCCTTGTGCTTTCCCCATTGATTTCAATGATTTGATCTCCTACCTGTTAATTAAAGGAAAATTAAGTCAGTCAAAGATGGTTTGACTCAAGTTCCATTTTCTACAGATTACAGAAGCATCCCTAGGTGACCCGAGAGCATCTGCACAATTTTGTGGTGCCCTGTAGCATCTCAGAAGAGGCGAATCCCTGGCTCCATCCTGAGTCTGACAACCAAATTTGATTTACCTTTATAGACATGAAAAAATCAGACTCTGGATGTTGTAACCATATGCCACTTATATTTAGCCAATATGACAGAAACCATAAGCTACTTAGCATTTTTTTAAAATTAGGGAGTATGTCTGATACCACAGTTCAAAATAACCTGGCTCTTTAGCTTTGAATCAAGAAGTAAATATTTTAAGTCCCTTTCATTGAATATATTGCTAGCATTTGGCTTAGGGAAGCATCTAATTCAGCATGTTGGATGAAATGATTGGTTTTTGTGCTTCTCTGAGAATTTTTTGCTATGCATCATTTGAATTTCCCTGGGTGCTATTGTGATACTGCCTTCTTTGTAAACAGTGGTTGATTGATATTCAAGTTTGATGATGAGTTTTCTATCACAGTCCCTTGAACTAAAAATGAAATTCTCCATTCTCTCCACATGACTAATGCCCTGGCTAAATCTTTGCCATACTCACACCTGATTGCAGAAGCTGTCTGGTTAGATACCAATCCCTCCTGAGTTGTCAGAAATGCCTGGGTTCCATGAGTGATTCCCTCTTAGGCGTTGCGAACAGATATTTGAAATAAAAGAGCTTCAACAATGATCACATCACGTAACTCCCACAGCACCATTACTGTCAGGAACCTTTGAATTAAAAACTGTCTCATTTCAGTGCAAGTAACGTAAGGCAAATTAACCAGCAAGAGCACAATTAGTTGCTTTGCAAAAAAGCTATTTTAGTTGGGTCCCCTAGACAAAGCAGATTTCAGCCTAAATTCTGTAATGTACACAGAATTACAGAAAATCTCTCTTTAGCCAAGCATTATCAAGGTGGATGCTACAGGTTAGGTAAGAACAGGAACAAAATACTGCCATCACAATGGCAAGAGGGCATTAAAACAGGACCCTCAGAGTTGGGGGAAAAGAACAAATGTATGTTTGTTGTAGAAAGGAAGAAACATCTCTACCTAAAGAGGATAAAGACTTTCTTTGTGTAGTCTGTTGCTTCTGGAAGTGTGAATTTTGGGTGGTGGAAGAGGTTTGCCTCACTGGCATGACTTCCACATTCCACAGAAGAAGCAAGAAGACAAGACTAAATTGATTTGTTTTAGAGTCAAAAACTTTCATCCAGTCTCTTTGTCTCCTTTATTATGGGGTAATAGGCATAATCTGAAGTTGAATAGATTGCCACAGGCCACACATCTAAGCCAGACGCAGAAGTGGCACCAAGTGTCCCTCCCCCAGTCGCCCTCACTCATGACTGGAACCTCATGGCACAGCATTAAATTGAAAAGTAAAACAAAAGCTCCAGTAAAATTACATACAGAGTCTTCATTCCTGCTAGAGTCTCTTCTGAGCTTCAGACTCACATAATCAATTGATAACTAACAATCTTCACCTGGTCGTCCAACAGGCAAATCCAACTCTATAGCAGCAGACTGGGCTTTCTCCGAAAGCAATTCTTCCTCTTAATTCCCAGTCCTGGTTAATGGTACCACCATTCACCCAAGCCAGAAACCTGGGGTCACTCTGGACTCTTCATTTTCTCAACTTCTTTGCATCTGTCCCTGTTCGCATCTGTATTCCATTGCTAACTAGCTCATTTCAAGCCTTAACTGGATTATTCCAATATTCTCCTGTCACTCTCCCATCAATCCCTTCTAACTATCCCAGAGCCATTCTTTAAAATCTTCCCCAATGCACCATGTTGACTGAGGCATCCAGGCCCTTCCTCATACCACTGTTCTCTTTGCTTTCTCCTCCCCATAGTTGGAGGTGATCTCCTGATCTTCAAGGTCAGCCCAGGCATCTTCTCTGGGTGCCTTCTTTTACCCTATGCTCTTCCCAAGAGGAGGTGTCCAGTCTGTCTGTTCAGTAGTAACTGCACTCCAATCTTTTACTTATTGCATGTCATTACAGATTTATAATTCTCTCTTCCTGTCTAGACTCTGAATGTCTTCATTTGGTAAATAATTTCTGAGCACCTATTAGGTTTCAAACAGTCTACTGGGGATATAGAGATAAATGATTTAATTTCTACCTGCAATAAATTCTTGGGCTAGCTGGGGAGAAAGTGAGTAAATAAAACGGTTGTTACTCAGTGTTTCTTTGCTATGACAGGCTTTCACAAAGTACTAAGGGAAGAGAAAGGAGGAACATCTAACCAGAATAGGTAAGGTAGGTAGGCAGGGAGAGCTGCCTGGAGCTGGTAACATCTCAGCAGTTTGGAAGCATCAGTAGGTGTTCCCTAGATGAGATGGAAAGCATTCTAGACAGAGAGGGCACATATGTAAAGACCCCAAGATTTGAGAGCACACTGTATTTGGGAAACTGTCAGTAGTTTTTTGTGCTACTCAGGAGTTTAGGATTTATTTTGAAGGGAAGAGCAAAATAATAACTCCCAGGACTGGGAATTAAACAAGGGGTAACCTGACCTGGGAAGCAGAGTGGTGCTTAATAGTCTCCCCGAGACATCAGTATGGAGAGTGGACTGGGGAGCAAGGTGGGAGACCGAAGAAGGAAGCTGTTGTGGTCACACAAGTGAGATATCAGGGGGCTGTGGGGAAGGAGAGCATTGGGAAAACAAGGCAGAGATTGGGTCTTACCTAACTGTGTGTCTGGACAAGGTCACTGTATATGTTTGTGAATGAAGGAAGTGGTTCCACATGACTCATCTTGAGGCCCATGGGAGAAGGAGTTATAAGTACTCTCAACCCTAAAATCAAAGCTTGACAGCCACTGCTGCCTGAGGACACCTGTGTCTTGAGACTGACATTTTAACAAAAAAACTACATGGAAGGCAAAAGGGATCTTGTGCTGAGTTAGAAATAGACACACCTTTTGTCCACTGGCCCCTGGTTGAGTACAGCAAGACTTAGAAAACTCGATGTTTTCATGCTCTTGTGGTTTCCCTACAGAGAGCTTATGAGAATAAAAGAAGAAAAATTAGCACAGGGAATGGGAGAAGGGTGGTTTGAAAACTGTGTGGGAGATGGAGAAGTGGGGACGGGGGGTTCCAGCATGGCACAAGAGCAGGGCTGATATCCCCTCTGTCACAATCAGGGATGGGGCTCTGGGAAGAGTTGGGAACATTATTTTCACTAAATTCCCAGGAGCCTGAGCTGACCTCTTCACTGGGAAGATTTCTGTAATTTCAATTTTCTTCGTAGGGACCCCTCAGAGGGAGATGAGAACAATCGGATACCTGCTGAATCTCTCCCAAGCCACTTCCCCATTCCAGGGTACCAGTGGAGGGGTGGGTAGTCTGCTGATTTCCTGCCTCATTGGGAGCGATGGAAGATTGGGAATAGTCCAAGATCTTAGAAAACTGAGAAAAAATTTCTTGGTGGGTGGCTGTGGTTAGGGAATGGGACAGAAGTGCTGCTGCCCACATAGAATCTGAGTCTTGCAAGGTGTTCTGGGAGTATTGTAAAAGTGGGTGGACCCATGTGGACCTAGTTTCAATGGTAACAGATTCAGTTCAGGCCTGGCCTTGTTTCTCCTATCTCTCCTTGTAGCAACGTAACTTGAAAAAAGGTTTCATTTTATTCTAATTCAAATAATAATTGGAAAACCTAAATGAATCTGGGATGCAGTCTCTTTCGTTCTCATCCTCTTGGCATCTGGATGTACAGGAAGATCGATTTGTCAGGAGGAGAAGAGGTTCTCTGGTTACCTGCCGCCTCCTCTGACTTCACTGCAGTTGCCACTGTGCAGCCCAAGGCCATCACTTTCCTACCTCACAATCGGGAGAATAATTTGATAAAACCAATACAAAATTTGCAGACCTTTCAGGAGTGAAGAAAAAGACCAGTTGTGACTCATGTAGTCTCTTTCTATACTTTCTCCACCACAGCACTATCTTCAACTGAGCCATGTTACTAGAATGAAACTTTAAAGATCTCTACTCATTCTTAGGAAGTTTTGAAATATCAAGTTTCAGTTAGAATTGAAAGAGAGAGAGAGAGAGAGAGAGATTGGAGGTGGGTGAGGGAAGGGGAGCAAGAGACCATGGAGAGAGAGACACAGAGAGAGAGACCCACATAGAGAGAGAGAGACCCAAACCAGATAGAGGTAGTTCAGGAGCATAGTGTTTTGCTTTGTGTAGGTCAAGATGTCAAGATATCAAGTTTAGGAAACCAACCAAAGGACTTAAGGGGAATTTGTCCTATAGAAGAAATACTTGTGGTCCCTTAGGACAATTAACAGCCTTAGTGTCTTTGGGGCAAGTCAGAGTGAGATGACTGCTGTCCCTTGGCATAGCCTGGTGAGTCCTGCATTTCTACTCATATATTTCATGGTAGATTTTTCTTTAAGGAAATGATTACCAAATTCTTGAACTTGCTTGAGGCTCCGCAGGTAAAAAAAATTTCTTCTTATTATTGGAAGGCCAAAGCAGGAGAAGGTAAATGCCTTAAAATTTCTTAAATGGTTAATAGTTCAGGTTGTAAGAAAAAAATTAAACTCTGTACTGTATGCATTTTTGTAGTTAAGTCATATAAAATATTTGGCTTGTCTCAATGAAATATTTATAAGAACTAGATTAAATGCTGGATTTATTTCAGCCCTAGGTCATGGCAGTCCTAGCTCAAAGGGCTTCTTGGACGTCACTACAAACATGCTTAGCTGGTTGTAGTCAGTTAAGTGCCCTCACGCTACTTCTCTATCATAAGAATCTATTTTGCACAATCATATATAATTAAACAGATTCTAGATTATAATCTGTTCCTCATACCAGATTATAATCAGGTTTGAGAAATTGAGTTTCTTTAGAATATTATACCAATAATAAATAATCTCTAGTCTTTATTTCATGAAGGACTTAGTTGTGGAC